AGTGGCAAAGTATAACCACTTCCTAATGTGTAGTATAGCGGGTTTAAACTTAATTGTCAACCCGGGTCCTAGGTGTGATGACTACTCCGTGAAGTTCTTATTATTTAGCGGTTCAACTGTAGTGAAGGTTTAAATAAACTAACAAACACAAGCAGTAAAAGTTGTGGTTCAAGTTTGACAGAGGTCACCCAGATATGGTTCCCCCTTGCAGTTAAGCCAAGTTGTAATTCACCAAGTCCAGATTCAATGATAATTATACTACGGAAGGTTCTTATTCAGTCTGAAGTCTCGACTAAAGGTCTCCATAACCTCTCAATTTGAATACCCGGCGGGCGACGAACCTCCACCGGAGTGAACAAACTAAGGCCTAACGTGCAAAACCACCTCTACTGGAATAAATCCATTACAGAACAATGAATTGACTCCTCGGCTAAAGTCATCAATTACCATCTTCAATTAAGGGTGCTCTATCAACCTAGTTAGATATTCTCTTTCTATGTCAAAGCATGAACTACGGGAATTTGATCAGAATTCATGCAATTCAAAAAAACATGCCTCAATTGAATATAATCGATATCAAAGAACATGTACTTGGGTTCATACAACCAAACCTAACATACAAATCTAGGGTTCTTCATACCCAGGTGAGCAAGAGAGTTTACTCCATAGAGAGAGAAGAGAAATCAACTTCAGATGCAGAAATCATTCTATGAAGGATGAAAATTGGCTTCTGGTAATCAACCGCCACTTCTCAAAGCTTCAATCCAGCTCCAATGGTGTTGAATCTCGATCTAGGGCACTTGGAGGTTCTGTTCGTCATTTTCTCTCTCTAGGTTTCTACTTTCTTTCTCTAAAACTCGGATCCCTCTCAAAAGAGGCCAGTTTTGTTTGAAAAGGAGCAGCTCCGGAAACCCAACCCAAATACCTGGTCGGGTATTAATGGAGACTGGCCGGGTATTTTAAAACGCAGCGCTCTGAGCAGGTGGGAAATACCCGATCCAGGTTCAGAATACCCGATCGGGTATTTGAGCTTCACGTTCGGGACCCCTTCTGCTTCCCCGGCCTCCAAAATGCTTTTACCTAGTCGGGTATTACAGTGCCTGACCGGGTATTTTTGCCCTCCAGCTCCTCTCTGCCCAACTCTCCACCTTTTGACCCGAAACTCGCTTCCACGCCTCCATGTCCACGCCAAGTCCTGAAATATGACATAAACGCACAACCTAGCGTGAAATCGACTTAACACACGAGAATCGACTCTCAAATGGTTCAAGAATGGTGGTCAAAACATGTGCAAATAATGGTCTATCAATCCCTCCGACACCTCCCTCTCCACAGTTGAAGAAGACAACTGCTGAAGCAAGCACCACTAATAGTGATGCCATGGGCAATTTCTCATGTCGATGGAAGACCCAGATGTGGGCAATTTCTGGCGACAGAGAGATCATGCATGGTTCATCAGCTCCTCTCCAGATCCGATCGAATATTGATTGATTTTTGGTTCAGATGGTGGTACTAGACTCGGACAAGCATATGAGAGTGAGGAAGAAGAAACAGACACATATGTGCAGAAAGGGATGGTTACAAATTACTAAATTTGTAATTTTAATTTTCTCATTAAAATCTCTAATTCATTCCCAAACGTGTTGTTTGAGCTAAATCGCACACTTAAAATATTTGGATTTGATTCTCATTGATACATTTACTCTAGCTCATCCAAAATTACTCGCAATGGAATTTGTTTCTAGAATAACCAGTCACCTATGTCGCTAAATAAACAAAGTACACCCAAATATTGTGCATTCCCAATAGGAATCAAACCTATAATATTTTTGACAAAATACATATGTATAGCTATACCTATCAACTTTATGACAACAATAACTAATATTTTAGAAATACACAAAATGTCCAAATCCCATCAAAACATTAACAGATTCATCTTAGATACTAACTCTGATTGGACTAATCTTTTTGCTCACTTAGCGATACTTAATAAAAAATCATGAGGTGGAATTAACCATATTCACTTAGATAGTCATAACGATTAACTTTGTCACACTTATAGTCAATTTCACAAATATACAAAAAAATCCAGATTATTTGGAAATATTGACAAATTTAGCCATTGCCTTTAAAAACTTTACCACCATTAGATTCTATCACTACATTAACAAGACGTCGACGAGTATGCCACCTTGACACACATGTCAATGACAACTCGACATGTCATGCCACATGGACTGCACATCATATTTTCATTAAAAATATTTTTATAAATCCCTTTTTATCCATCCAGTTCTTCTTCTAGCTCCACTATCTTCATTTTTGAATCCCTGGTCAGCCCGCCGACGTACCTGACTCTTACTTCGCCGACGTTCTTGCAAAATACACTCCCTTACCGCAATCGTTGCTGGTGGAAGAAGCCGGGATTCTAGTGATGGCGGAGATCGTCAAGGACAATGCCGCCCTCTCCTTAGCGGTTCTACGATCAACGGTAGAGGAAGATCTGCTTGGAGCCACCAATCAAATACGGTTGGTAGAGGTGAAAAGGGGTTGTTGAGGGTGATTGGAGGAAGGGAAGGGGTTGGGCAGTTGGAGGTGGATGGCCCTTCTATTTGATTTTATTATCTTTTATTTTCTTAGTTAATTCCACTAGGCAATATTTTTTTATCAAATGTCACCATGCCAACAAAAACATTACTCCAGTTAGTATCTAAAATGACTTTGTTAAAGTTTTGGACAGAATTAGATATTTTGTGTGTTTTTGAGAAATTTGTTATTATTGTCACAAAAGCAATAGTTAGTGATATATAGGTTTTTACAATAAAAGTATGATGTGACATCCACGTCACCACGTGGCATGACATATCGAGTTGTCGTTGATGTATGCGTTCAGGTGGTATTTTCGTCAGTTTCTTGTTAATGTAGCTGATCAAATCTCTAACGACGTTGATGTTTTTAACGAAAGTGTCTAAATTTTGCAAATGTGTTTCTAAAATGTGAACATTTTGTCAATAATTATAGCTATGCAATTGAATTTTGTCTACTATTCTCATATTATAAATTATTCTTGCGATGAGGGAATGCCGACTTGTGGAATTTCTGATCATCCATCAATCGTTTGTCGCCTTCGTTGGCAGAATAGTCTACCTATCCGTCATATCTTTTTTAATTATGTATCCTTTTTTGCAGATTTTCATTGGAACCTTTTTAAATAGTATGAAAAAAGAAAGATTATCAGCTTTCGAGAGCTCATTGATTTTAAGGGGCGTACTGTGAAACTGGATTATTGATTGGAGTAATGATTGAGGGTTCTTCCCTCCGGTTAACATATATATATATATATTATTTCCATCTATTTAATTATTATTATTTTCCTAAATATCAAATATGGATCACTCTATTATTCTCTTAGCATTATTATCTGTCTTTCTTCCTGGCCCTACCTTTTCTTTTACTCTTATTTTTATTCGCCTTGGAAATCTTTTGTTGCTTCTACCGTCTTTTACTTGGTTATTAGAAATTCAAAAAATATACTTATTGTTTATCATTATTTTTTCCTATTAATTTATTATTATAAAGTGAAAACGCCAAAAGTTTACAAAATATTAATAGGTATCCGAGATACAATCTGGGCCCCACTCTCTTAGCTATGGCAAATCTAAGTCTAGTAAAAATGTATGCGGCCGCCCGAGCCCACGCCATCTGAGACATGGAGAGTTTCTAGATCTGCTTGAGCAAAGCGCATCACCCGTATCCAACTCTCCCAGTGAAGAAAAAGAAAAGTGTAGAAAGCCGTAACTAGCCGCCATGCACAAGTCCCGATACTTGGCATACTTCCGCTGAGCAGCGTCAGCAACAACTCGGCCAGGCACCAAATCAGCCATCCCAGTCTGAGTCAGAGGTGAAGACCCAGTCAAATCGACACACTCATCTCGCCCCGTGTCCCAGGAATAAAGCAACAAATCCGCAGGACGAAGGTGTCTACCATGCCCATCAACCAAACCAATATCAACCTCCCTACCGGCCGAAATCCCAGACCTGTAACAGATGTCCAATAAGGTGTCACGAACGAAGTTGTGTCGATGCTTAATGCCCACAGAACCAGCACAGGACACGACAAAGACATGTTGTACTAAATACAAAATAATCTTGTCTAATTTTTAGATTGTGATTTTTCTCATTGTCACAATTTCTATTTTATTATGTTCACTGTACTAAATACAAAATAATCTTGTCTAATTTAGACAGTTGTACCATGTTGTTAGCCAAAGGGATGATGGACAATCAACAAGCCAATTGAAGATTTCATTGGCTCAAATTGAGAAATTATAGCGTGTCATGTGTGCTGAGGGAAATTATTCAATTCCACGAACTTCTCTCTTCAAACATACAAACAGACAGACAAAACACTACACATTATACTCCCTTTTCATATCAATAATAATACCCATTATTATACTACTAGTTCATCATCATTTTCCATTGTTTTTTTTTTACTTTATGTTTTCATATAAAATATCAATTCTCGTTTCGCTATAAGCTGTTCAAGGGACGATATGGATCACCGGCACTTCCAGTCTCGCTCTCTCTTTTTCAATCGTCATTGGTCAGAAACTCTGAAGTTGCAATCTCTCATATATGTGTTGATGGCCAAACTTTTAGCTGATGAATTAGCTTACATAACTATACAGTCACTCTCCGTCGCTATATATATGTTTTGTTATCCTAATGCATATGGTATCTGGTACTTAATAAATTTGGTGGGTAAGATTGTTTTTCTACTTGCATATGTAAGTTAGTTCTTTCAACTCCCAGGAATATTATGAGAACTATACATCCATAACTCATTCTGCATACAAACAAACCAAACAAAAAAAAAAATACAAAATTGAAAAAGGGAAAAGGGAAGAAAGAAAGAAAGAAAGAAACGAAGGGGAAAACAAAAGAGAGGACAAAATTGGATTTTTACTCATGGGAAGAAAAGTTGTGTTGTCTAGCTACCCAACTTTCACTGCATTATTATTATTGTTATTCTGATCTTTTGCATCAACTAATCCATTTATGGGAGCAGCAGCACACAACCTTACTGAAGATAGTGCTTTGTTGAAGTGCTTGGCCTTTGTGCCCAAGTACTCATTCCAAGTCACTGCCCTATAGAGTGGAGGTTGACTTGGCCCCACAAGTTTTTGCACGGGCGATATTCTCACGTTCGAAGGTGGGCCATGCAGGTAGGCAATCGATATCCGGTTCCTATCCCGGTTAACCACGGCCCGATGGACCACACTCGGGCACAACCCGTTCGACAATATGTGGAGCAGGTCGCCGATGTGGACCACCAGCCCGCCTCGAATCGGAGGGACCGTGACCCACCGGGTCCCATCATCCCTCAGCACCTGCAACCCACTGGTGTTGCTCTGGTGGAGGATGGTGAGAAGGGTGGAGTCGGTGTGTGGGGCGAGACCCATGGCTCGATCCGGGTCGGGGCAAGCCGGGTAGTGGTTCAATTGGATTGCAGCCGAGGAGGAGCCAGCAGCCACCTCTTTCTTTGGTCCACCTCTTGGGGTGGTGGTGGTGGTGCTATTGCTATTATTAGGCCAATTCAAATCTTCCTTTGTGATCCCAAGAGAACCAAGCATTAGCCACATCAACGTTTGTGCCAGCTTTTGCATTTGCTTGTCGTACTCTTCCACGGTGTCACTGGATGACACGAGAGAAAATTAAAGAGGCATAAGTAAAAGGTATGAAATGTAAGGTGGGCAGGCCAACAAGATGGGAATAAGACTCCAAACACAGTAGAAAAAGGCATTTAGTTTCTCGAATGGGGGCCAATGCGGTCACTAATCCTAAATTTTGTCCTCTTTTGTGTAGGTCCATAATAGAACAACGAATTATCATTCAATCTTATCATCGATCACTACGGCTAAGCATATATTAAATAAAAGCGGTTCCTTTCCTTTCCTTCGGTGTGTTATAAAGCAATTTTTGTTTAGTTCCGTCACAAAACAACATAAAAAAAAAGGTTTCGTGACAAAAAGATAAATATGAGAAATGAAAATGATATTTTCTTGGCAATTATAAATGGAAAGGAAAATGACTTTTTTGGCCACAGGAATACAAGTGGAGCCCTGACATTAGTGGAATCAAATGGTAAGAAAGAAGAGACAAAAGAAAGTTAGAAAAATCCTCATCACAAACGGCTTCAGAATAGGGGTGAAAATATGTATAAATCGTTATCACCTGTTTTGTGCGTTTTTGCAAGAGAGAGCTGGGTTTTGGATCCCAAACACCAAACGAACCAAAGAAAGAGAGGGCGATTTGAGGCATTCTAAGAGTGGAATTGGAGGATTTCTTCGCCTTGGAAGCTCGAGGAACAGCCCGGGACTTGAAGACTGATCATCTGAAGATTCTTACTGCAGTCTCTCTCTTCTCTATGGAGTAACTTCCCTTCACTTAGGTTTAGAGAACCCTAGCTATGTTTGTTTGATTGGATGATTGTATGAGTACTCCTACTTGATATCTTGAGTTCATATTCAATCTATGCCGTTTTTCATGATTCAATTATGCTTTCGTCGGATTATTGGTTCTGCTTCTGCTTGATCCTATGAGAGCGAATACCTGATTAGGTCAATAGAGCATCATAGATTGATAGTATTGGATCGATTGCTTTAGTCGAGGAATGATTCAATGCTTTGTATCGATTGAGAACCTCATTCGATAGAGGGAATCTAGTTCAGAACGCCTTGATCGGTTGTTCTAGAGAAGGATACGTCCCTCTAGGCAATTGACTCAAGAGGCCCTTGATCCTTTACTCGAGATTCAAGGTTTAGTCAAGGATTCTCCGCACTGTGAATGAAAGTGAAACAAGTTAGAGATCATCAATCATTAATCTGGCTAGTGGCTAGGGGGAATCATACCTAAGTGAGTTCCCAACCTGTAATTAGATTAACTTTAACTGTAGTTTGTTAAAGTAGTTTTAGTTCTTCCATCTTAATCCGGTTTGCTAGATGACTCGCTGTTACTGTCACTCTAGAAAATGGCCAAGTGCAACCACTTCCTAAAGCGTAATATAGCGGGTTTGGGTTTTAATGTCAACCCGGGTCCTAGATGTGATGACTACTCGGTGAATTCTTGTTATTTAGCGGTGAACTTTTAGTGCAACTCAAGCAAACAAAACACAAAGCAAGTAAAGGTTTGTTGTCAAGTCAAGAGAGGTCACCCGTATGGTTTCCCCTAGACTGCAGTTAAGTCGGATTGCAATTTACCAAGTTCAGTTTTCATGAAAGTTATACTGCGGAAGGTTCTCAATTAGCCTGAAGTCTCGACTAAAGGTCTCCAGACCCTCTCAATCTGAGTCTCTAGCGGGCGACTAACCTCCACCGGAGTAAACATATTGAGGCCCTAACGAACCAAACCTCCACTACCGAATTGAATTCGGTACAGAATAGTGAATTGGCTCCTCGACTAAAGTCACCAATTCGCCACCTTCGATTAAGGGTACTCTATCAACCTAGGCAGATATTCTCATTCTAGGTCAAAGCAGAAACAACAGGAATTTGATCAGGATTCAAGTCATTCAATCATTCAAACCTCAATCGAATATAATCAATTCACAAACTCTGTACTTGGGTTCATACAATCAGACCTAGCATACAAATCTAGGGTTCCCCATACCCAGATGAATGGGGAAACTACTCCATAGAGAAAGAAGCAAAAGCAGATTCAGACGCGGAAATCATACTGTGAAGTTGGATTTCTGCTCCTGGACGTTTAATCGCACTTCTCCAAGCTCAAGACGGGCTCCAATGGTGTTGAAGATCGATCTATGGCGCTTGGGAACTCTGGTTCGTCGCTTTCTCTCTCTAGGAATCGATTTCTCTCTCAAAAACTCGGAACTCTTCAATGTTGGCCTTCTTCTTCCTTATATCAGCTGCCTGGTCGCGATACCCGGTCGAAATACCCGGTCGGGTATCTTGGGTTTCGACAGGGTATTAGCGCAGCACACCGTTTCAATCAAAGGAGAAATCCCCGGTCACTCGCCATAATCCCCGACCGGGGATTTTGCTGTTTTGCCCGGGCCCCTCTCTGATTCTCGGGCGCCCAAAAATGTTGAATATCTGGTCGGGTATTCGGCCACCTGACCGGGTATTTTCCTCCTGCAGCCCACTTTGTCCCAACTTCGCTCCTTTCGACCCAGAACTCGTTTCTCCGCCTCGATTCCAACGCCAGGACCTGAAACATGACATAAACACACAACCTAGCGTAAAATCGGCTTAAAACACGAGATTCCACATCACAAACGGCTTCAGAATAGGGGTGAAAACATGTATAATTATCGGTCTATCAAACTCCCCCACACTTAACCGTTTGCTTGTCCCCAAGCAAACCTAACTCAAACCAATGCAACTCTCCAGACCTCTATAACAACAAACAACCTCGATCGTAGGAAGCGGACTTCCTAGATCATTTAGCAGCTTACGAGGTCAACCGACGCACAAGTCATCTCATAGCCTCTTCGGCGAGAACGCTAGTCTCGAATCGGCATCATGGCAAATAGTGAACAGAGGACAAATGAGTCGTGGATGAAGAGACTCTCACAAACAAAAGATCATGGACTCACATTTTTCAAGGTGCTCGATTTTCTTCTTGGAGATGGTTGGAACCCCTTTTCTTTCTTCTTTTTGCTTGTTTTTCTGTTTTTCTCTTTTGTTTTTCACGGGTTCCAACCTTTTTCTGCAGAAAACGAGGGCTCCCACCTAGCAAAGGTTTTGCGGGAGCCCGGCTCTTACCGGCCATGCCAGGAGCGGGTGTCTCGAGCCTCGTGCGGGGGAAAGACATGTAAGGGGGCTAGAGGTAGTAGGTGGAAATTGGGAATGGATTCCCGTCTCCCCTTACACACTTTCGCCCTATTCGCACGGGAGACGTTATTTTAAAGCACATTTTCGAGCACCTGTTATTTTCAAAACATGATACAAGAGTCCATGACAGGCAGAGAGTCCACAACACCACACAATTCAAGGGTCCTAAGATCACTAATTCACTCAATCAACCAACACAATATGAAGAAGAAATGAGACTTCTTAAATGCATCAACATCCTCCATAGTGCTACACTACCTCCCTAGGTTGCAAATCACTACAGAGACTGTCAATTCAAAGCATACTGAGCAGGCAATTGCAAGGAACACGTACTTGGAGCCCTCATATTTAAAAATTTGTGCAGTGGACTAGGCTCCAAGCACACAAACAGATCTAATGCAGTCAAAAGATAAACATCCCCCCCACACTTAAGATCGACATTGCCCTCAATGGAGAAGAGGGAAGGAAAGGGGAACGATGTTACCGGTATGCACAGATTGCAGGAGACTGGAAATGGACCAGTCGGAATGGGACGGACGGGAGAGAGGACCAGTCGGGAACACAGGCAGAGCTAAAATAGACCAAAAAGCTCAAACACATACGTTAGGTCCAACGGTCAGCCCAATAGTACAACATCCAAAATGAAAAGAAAAAGAAACAAAAACCGACACCAAACAGACAGTTTGCATGCTGACACAGATAAAAACTCTCAAAACATGCCCCTCGGAATACTCCATCAGACGGCGGCCGCGGTCTCTCTCCCGCTCGATGAGAGCAGTAGTGTGGCCCATGTGGGTCTCCAATCGGCCAAGGCGCTCATCAACGCCCGTCATCCTGGACCGGTACTCGGCCTGGTGGGCCGAATACTGCTGGTAAAACTGGACCTGATGGTCCATGAGCTGCTGGTTCTGAAGACCGAGCTGCTGGAACTGGAGCCCCATCTGCTGGAACTGCTCCGTGAAGAAGTCCATCGACGGACCAGAAGGACCAGAGGAGGACTCACCTCGCACTGGTCTCCGTCGAGGCTGAAGATCCACAGGCGGGGAGAGCGGGGGCTCCGGCTCATCGGCAGCCATGGCGCCGTCATCATCATCATCGGCGTCCTCATCGACCTCCTCGCCTACATAGTCATCATCCTCCTCGTCCTCATCAAGATCCACAACCTCCTCGGGGGGCATAGAGAGCCCATCCACCCAGGTGCGGATGTCGTCAGTGGCCAGGAGGCGTGCACTGTGGAGCACGTCCCGGCTGAGGGGTGCGGAACCGCCCTGCTCGGTCGCATCGTGAAGTCCCTCGAAGCTGAGCCCGAAGTGGCGGGCCAAATCGGGTGATCAGAGGACCACAGAAGAGGTGGGTAGGATTCCCGTGGACTCGGGAGAATGTGGTGGCCACGAAAGATCCCAAGTGGAGCATGTCCTCCGGATCCCCCATACAGGACATGGCGTACAGGACCCGCTTCGGGACCTTGTGCGAGCCGGTGGCGTTGGGGACGATGGAGCGGGTGATGAGCAGGTTCAGAATGTGCCACTCCGGCCTGAGGGTGCTGACGTAGGTTTGGCCAGCCACGAAGAAGTCATCCCGATAGGCGAACCTGACGACCTCTCTGTAGAAATGATCTTGGAGCCAGTCGGGCGGGTTCGGGAGCTCGACCGTGTGGCCATCGAACGGGTTGTACTCGATCCCCAATGCTGAGGCCAACCCGTCAATGGTCAGCTTTCGGGGACGGCCACCCAACCAGAACTTCACTGCATGGGCGTCCCGAGGCTTCTTCTTGTCGTACTCGAACGTGGTGTAGAACTCCCACACCAGCTCCG